CAACCATATAAGATCTAGAGGGCAGCATTTACCCAGGGTTAAAACTCAGAAGGCAGAAAGGGGTTGTTGTTGTTGTTATGTGCCATGGAGTTGGTTCTGACTCATAGCCACCCTGTACAGGGTTTCCGAGGCTTTAAATCTTTACAGGAGCAGAAAGCCTCATCTTTCTCCCGAGGAACAGCTAGTAGTTTCGAACTCCTGACCCTGAGATTAGCAGCCCGAGTCGTAACCAGGTAGGAAAGGACAAACGGAAATGGCAAACACAGGGAGGAAGTGGAAACAGCGCGGGTTACATTGTGAGGATTGTAACCATATGGGAATGAAATGTGTATGGACTGTTGAATGGGAAACCAATCTGCTCTGTAAACTTTCACCCAAATGACAATAAAACATTTTTTTAAGTGAAGAACTGCAAGATGAAAGTGTTTCTCACTTTGTTGGTTGCAATCACTGATTAGACACGTTTTCTGTGGGAAGAAAAGCCAGAATTGCTCCCTGTCCACGCGCTTCAGGGTCGTGTCAAACTCCCCTTCTGCGCCCTCTAGCCTCACCCCCTCACCTTAAGGCCCTGCCCCCAGTCTCTCGCTCAATCCTCCTAAACTCAGTATACAAATCTCACAAAACCGACTCCAAGGATTCTGACTAAATGAAGTTGAAAAAGCAACAAATAACGTTTATCAATCTCCAGCTCTGAGGGAAAGCATTCCGGAGCTGTGGACTGAAACGTGCATTGAATCTGTAGCTTTAGGAGTATCTGAAATAATACTTTTGTCTCTGGGAGTATGAGCTTCAAGGAGACTTCTCTTATCAATGGCAGAAAACACTCCTCAGAAATCGGCCTCCTGCCGTTAAAAAGGAGCAAAGTTTCTCCGCTGTTCTGATAGACTAGAGACACCATTTTCCAGGGCTCACTTCGGAGCCGTTTTGGCCTTTGTTGCTGAGAGTCCGAGTAGGGGGTGGGGTGTCTGCCTTCTCCGCGCCCTATGGGAATGCAACAACTACATTACCCAGACTTCTGTTCGACCCGCGGCAGGGGCTTCAACCAATCGGGGCCCAGAGAAGGGCACTTCTGGGCGTGTAAACGACGTTGGGGCGGGACTTCAGGCGTCCCTTTTGTGGCGATCCTTCTGGCCAGCTGGGTGGGTACCATGGTGACGTAACCGAGAGTCTGGAGAGGACGCGTTGTCCTGACCTCACAAAGGCGGGTCTGAACCTAGGCGGCGGCGCCTTCAAGGGTGACCCACCTCGGGGTGTAACTAAGTGGGGATCTCCGCACCGGGGTCTCCGCCCACCGCCCGCCGCTCGGAGCCCCACTTCGTCCCAAAGGCTCCATGGCGGCCGCCAAGCTGATGGACCAGGGTCAGGTGAGTGAGCATCTCCCAGGCCTTCCTGTTCGGACTCGCGGTTCGCAACCCTCAGGCCCCTGGACAGGGCGCCTGCGCGGATCCTTGCAGCCCCGGCCATGCCTTGCACAAGGGGCGCTGGTGGCGGGGATACCGTTTCCTGAGAGCCCGTGTGATGGGGGGTGGGAGAGCCCACGACAGAGGGAGCATCGGGGCGACGGCTGCAGGTGTACGGAGCCAGAGCAACAGGGGACCTGGGGCCTGTCGGGCGTCTGCAGGGAGTACCTGGAAGGCAGGCTGGAGAGTTGTGCGTTCATTCTGAGGACAGTGGGAACCATGGAGGGCTGTGAACAAGAGGGTGATGGTTAAAAAATTCAACAACAAACCTGAAAAAGAACAGACTACAAGGGGAGGCTGACCGTGAGACCCAGGGAGGTTGGGTTTTGCTCTAAGGTCACACAGCTGTTTTAAGAGTAGGACTGAGGACCAGAGCTAACACAGGTGTGAAGGTCAGCTGGCTGTGGGACTGGCAGGCTCCTACCCACATGCCTACAGGATCTCCATCTTCCTACAGCTTCCCAAGGCTGCACACAGGTTTGTGGAGGGTGTCTCAGGGCTTCACTGACCCTGACCCCCCCACCCTGAGTACCCTGAACACACCTCAAGCTTAGGGTACTGAACTCAGGTTAGGGACTGTATGAGGTGCTTCTTCTTTAAATCCTTGGAACTAGAGCTGCAGTGTTTTCCCAAGCATTGATTGCTTGGTTGGTCATGTGCGGTGGAGTCGGTTCCGACTCATAGCAACCCTATATAGGGTTCTCGAGGTGCTAAATCTTTATGGGAGCAGAGAGCATTTTCTTTCTCCTGCGGAACAACTGGTAGTCTCAAACTGCTGACCTTGAGGTTAGCAGCCCGACTCATAACCACTCCCCTACCAGAGCACCTTTCCCAGGCATTTTGTTGTGAAGTGCCAACCCACAACCATCCTTATATAGAGTTTCCGAGGAGCAGCTGGTGAGCTTGAACCGCCGCCAACCTTGCGGCTCAAACAACTTTGCAGTCCAGCGCCTGAACCCACAACGCCACAACTTGGAGGCGAGGCTGAACTGGGAGTACATAGAAACCACAAGTCTGCATCTCAGGGGACCCGAGAGCAGGGGGCAGGCTGGAATGTCTCCCCGAGCACTTGGGCATCTGTTATCATGGGGTTGGTGGTGGAAGCAGACGAGGGAGGTGCTCTGGTGTTTGAGGGGGATGAAGGGCAGAGCCAGGAGGGAGCTGCTGTAGTCCAGAGTGGAGCTGATGGTGGTGGCTGGATGAGTGTGGCCGTGACCCTTGGGATGCTGCGAATGGTGGCATTTCTAGGTCTCTGTTTTTCTTTTGTCTTGTGGTGAGGTTGTTACACATAACAAGACAGGTGCCTTCTCACCAACTTCTACCTACATATATGATTCCGTGACATTGGTTACATTCTTCAAGTCATGCGCCCAGTCTCACTACCCGGTTTTCCAAGTCATTACACTGCCAGTAACAGTCTCAATGGCCCCGAAGCATGAACTCTGCCCTTTCTGTCCCTACCACCCCCCAGTCTTGTTGTTAAATGCCATCGAGTCGGTTCTGACCCAGAGCTACCCTGTATAGGGTTTCCGAGGAGCAGCTGGTGGGTTTGAACCACTGATCTTGTGGTTGACAGTCCAGTGATGATCCTACAGTGCCATACCACACTATTAATCTTTGATTCTTATATATTTGCTTTTTTCACAAATGTGACATCATACACTATGTTTAATACGACTGGTTTAATTCTCTCAGCATAATGTTTTCAAGATTCTTCCGTGTTTGGCGTGCATCAGGATGACATTTCTCTTTATGACTGAGTAAGGTTGGTTTGAACTGCAAGGTCTGCGGTTCGAACTCACTAGCTGCTCCTTGGAAACCCTATACAGGGTTGCTATGGGTTGGAACCAACTCAACAGCATTTAACAAGAACAGCAAGTGTTTCATTGTCGGTCTGTACTGCAGTTTGTCCTTCGTTTGTGGATGAACATTTTGGTTGTTTTGACTGTGAAAAGCATGGTGAACAAAAGACACAGGTTTTTGTTCAAATTCCTTTGATCTCATTTGGGACTAGCAGTAGGATCAGGATTGCTGGGTTTCATGGTAATTCTGTATTCAACTTTTTGAGGAACTGCCCAAATGTTTTCTATAGTGGCTGTGCCATTTTACATTTCCACCATTAATGGAGGAAGCTTCCAAACCTTGTTTGACTTCCCCCGCCCCATGGCTTGGGTCAGGCACACCTGAGTCTTCAAAGTGACAACTTTGCTTTTTAACACTTTTTTTTTTTTTTAATGTTTGTTGTGAATTATATGATAGTTTACATGGGTGAATATTAGCTTTACATTCATCCTATCATATATCGTTTCATTGCCATGGTTACAATCCCCTCCATGCATCATCAACCAACCAAAGGGTAGACCCTGCAAGCCTGCCCCCCGGTCGTCAGCACACAGCTCCTCTCCCTCCCTGAGTCCAGAGTCCCCAGCTGCTCCATCTCTCCACGTCATCGTCTCTGCCTCCATCTCAGGCATCACTGCTTGTTATTTTGGCTTTTTAAAATTTTTATCGTGGCCATTCTGGTGAGGATGAGGCTGGTTTTCTCAGTGTGGTATTGATTTGCATCTCCCTTACGGGTGGTGAGATACTGAGCATCTTACATGCTTGTTCATTTGAATATTCTCTCTAATGAAATATCTGCTCAATTCCTTTGCCTGGCTTTGTTTTGTTATGTTTTTTACTTTGTATATTTTATTGTGTATTCAGTGAAAGTCCACACAGCAATTTAGGTTTCCATTCAACAATTTTTCGTAAAAAGTGTTCAGCGACATTGGTTACAATCTGGGAAAATTCTCAACATTTCCGTTCTAGTGGTTTCATTTCCATTAATTTCGTTTCCTTGGCCATTTATGCCCTTGTCTTTGTTTGAAGGTTATCGTTGACTATTTGGTCTCAAATAGTTGGTTCTTTAAAGAACCACTGTTGTTGTTGTTAAGTGCTGTTGAGTTGGCTCCGACTCATAGCGACCCTGTATCGGGTTTCCAAGGCGCTACTGGTGAATTTAAACCGTCATCCTTGTGGTTCAAACCTACCTTGCAATCCAGCACATTATCCCACAATGCCACACTAGCAGCCAGTCTGTTATCTAGCTAAATGATAACCTCAGGGGCTACTTCTGGGTTAAAGATGAAAGGTTATTTCGTGGCCGTAGTCTCAGGGAGTCTTCCAGTCTCAACTGGACCAGTAAGTCTGGCTTTTCTTTTTCTTTTTTTAAGAATTTGAGGTTCGGTTACATTCTCTTCCCATCTTAATCACACTCTATCTATTGTGTCCCGGATCAGAACTGTGGAGAGTGGTAGGAGGGCTTTTGGCTCATTTAAAAAATTGGGTTGTTTATGTTTTTGTTGTGATATTGTAGAAGTTTTTTAAAAAAATGTATCTTGGATATTACACCCTTATCGGCATATACGGTTCTTAAAACTTTTCTCTTCATCTCTAGGTTGTCTCTTTACTTGGCTAATGAAAGTATCAGTCTATCTTCTAAGTAGCTCTGCCTGGATTTTCAGATTTGAAGTGTGACAAACACGTGTTAGGAGTCAGGAATAAGCGCCACAATTTTAGTAGCTGGAAGGATTGGAAGTTCATTGACTTAGAAAGGGAGTTGGTAGTAGGAATAATTTAAATTAGGGATCTCAGGAATTTTGCTTTGCCATATCAAGAATCAGATGTTTCAGAGAATAAATGAGTCGAATCATTAAGTGGCAGCTGGACACCCAGGTTTGGAGTTCTGGGGAGGAATTCAGGATGAAGACTTCCACAAATATTGGTGGACGGTATGTGGACGGGGTAGACTTCTAGTCGTGGGAATCCTGGTCATGGTGGTAAGGCTGATAGCATGGGAAGGGGAAAGGGGAGGACCAAGGACTAGGGTTCCTGGTGAGGTTAGTATGCATCACAAACACAGAAAGAGTACGGAGGGTGAGAAGACTGCTATGGAAGGAGGATGCCCTTGCAGGTGATTGTCATGGATTGAATTGTGCCTCCTAAGAACAATGTGTTAGACATTGGGCTACTGGTGAGTGGAAGTGGGGGGAGGGCAGCAATGAAGATATGGGCTGAGTTTGACCACATTCCATACACCCCCATCGACCTGGAGATGAGAGAGAGAAGAGGAAAGGCTGGTTGGTCCAAAATGTGGTGAGACCTGGGGACTCCTGAGCCCATGGACAAGGACATAGCCACGGAGGGCTAGAGCTGAGAGTGAAGCGTCCAGCTGATATGAAGTGAGGGGAGATGCACAAGAATGCCCAAACTTGTACATAGCACCAATTTGAACTAGCTCCCATGGCTTGGTGATCAGAACTGTCTCAATTGTAAAGATAGAAGTTTTGTAACATAAAGGAGGAGTAGTTAATCTTACAGTCCAGGCACAGAAGGATCAAGGACCATCAAGGGAGAAGAGCATAAGCAAGATGCGGGACCCTATCCAGAGAAGCGGCAACACCAGAGATGGAGGCAGAGATGAGGACATGGAGAGGGGGAACAGCTGAGGACTCTAGATTCATGGAAAGAGAAAGACTGAGTGCTGGCAGCCAGGAGACAGACTTAAAGAATATGCCCTTTGGTTGTTTAAATGATTATATGTTCCTGAGTGTTTTTGTGTACATCCCTCCCCCAAAACAAAACAAAACAAAACAAAACCAGAGGGAATAGAAGAAAATACTGTTGAATGATAATAAACAGAGGAGATTGTAATCATTGCAATGAAATAATGAGTATAAAACCGATGTTCTCCCATGTGAACTATCACCCAATTCACAATAAAAAGTTAAATAATAATAAGGTGTTAGAGTTCGGACTCTTGTGCCTGTGGATGTAATCCCAGTTTGGACTAGGGTTTTCTTCATTATGGTAATGACACTCCATCAGTGTGGGGTGGATCCTAAGCCGAATCATTATGGTAATGACACTCCATCAGTGTGGGGTGGATCCTAAGCCTAATCGCTGCTGAGTTATAAGGAGCAACATAGACACACTAGCACAATCAGGACAAGATACAAGCTTGTGTCCAAAAGTTTTGCTACTAAGATTCCAGTTCATGCCTGCGCAGGTTTATTTCAAATAAAATGTGTTTAGCCATGTCTCTGTGATTAGTGGACAACTGCAGACAGGTTCTCTCAGTATCCTGTCTTAGTCTCCTTGGTGTTGTTAAATGCCATCAAGTCGGTTCCAACTCATAATGACCCTGTGTAGGGTTTCCCAGGAGCGGCTGGTGAGCTTGAACTGCTGACCTTGCAGTTCAAACCGACTCTGCAGCCCAGCACATTAACCCACAGCACCACACCAGGACTCCTAAAAACAGTGGCTTCCAAAGGGATCAGCTGGCCCAGGTACATTTCAAGGCAGAGAGGTCTGCACAGAAGGTTATGGGGTCTTTTGGGGATTCCAAAAGGGTAATCTTGGTAGGAGTCCTGGTGTGGTGCTGCAGAATAAACACAAGGTCAGTGGTTCAGACTCACCAGCAGTTTCTCAGAAACCCTCTACCGGGATGCCATGAGTCCGGAATGCCTCAACAGCCCTGAACACCAGTCATGGTAGATTTTCTTAAAGGACACAGGATGGTTCTGGGGGCTTTTCATAAAGAAACTTTAAGAAGTTTGAAAACTGCTTTTATGAGAAGGCCAAGGAAGTTGCAGCTAGGAATCTTTCCCATCATAACAAGGCACCTGCTTACTCCTGGGGGCTAGCAAGGATTGTTCCATGAAAACTTCATTGGGAAGCTTTACCACATGCATCAACCCTGTAGCCTGACTTTGTTCCCCAAACTCAAAGCATTGAAAAGGAGTGTGATTCGCGTCCCTCAAGGGTGCCACACTGCCATTTTGACTTGGTGTACATTGAAGAGCACAGAGTTCTCCAGGGAAGGCTTAGCTTCAGAGCTGTGCACATCTAGATTGAGGTAGGTTGGGATCAGTAGCTTCACAGTTTTATAGATTGTTTAATAAATCTTTCTACGAATTTATAGCAGTTGTTTTCAACTGACCCTCGTAGTTGCCACACGGAGATTTCCAAGAAACAAAGGAAGGCTGGAACTGGAGAAACAGACTAGGATTATCCCCTAGAGCAGACAGAGAGACTCTTCTCTGGAGCTGGATTCCTTATGCAGATTTCAAGCCTGTTGAACTGTGAGAAAATAAATGTGTTCCTGAAAGCCATCCCTTACGATGTCTCTGTCATACCACCTAAGACAGTGGCCAGCCCTTCTTAGGGGAGGGTGGACATGAGATGGATGTAGAAACACAGGAGTAATAGAGACAAGAGGACAGTGAGTTTGCAGCTGGAATCTAGCCAGCGCCCTCTGAAGTTGCAAGGGTTTTTCTGTGACCTTTGGCAGGTTGGTGGGTTCGCTCAGGGTCACGGGGGAAAGTCGCTAGGACTCGGGTAGAGGAGTCTAGCACCTAGCTGTCAATGTGCTTTAGGTGGAAAGAAGGCTGTGAATAATGAGGGAACGTCAAGTACAGCCCAAGTAGAGGAGGCCACAGATGGCTCTGGTCCACCGAGCTGTGAGCCAGGAACCGTGCCAAGTGAGGAGCTTTCATAGCAGCTGAGGGGCCGTCTGTGGCAGGGGCGAGCCCTGAGGGCCGGGGGGTAGGTCTGGGTCTTGTGTGGATAGAAGAAGCATGCTCAGGTGTCATGTATGCAGTGGTGGTGGGAAGCCTGTGTTTGAGGTGGAACAGGGAGGAGGTGGTGAGGCTGCGTGTGGAGCCGAGTGTGGACTTAGGGCCCAAGACCTCGTAGTGGGGACTCGGGGTGAAGGAAAAGCCTGTGTTTGCTGCTGTCCGGTACGCATGATCATGGGGACGTCAGGGAACTGCCCTAGAAGTGGGTGGCTACGTGACCCTAATGCCAGGTCCCTGGCTTAGACGTCATCATCCGTCTTCTCACCCGCCTCTTGGTGCTGTCAGCTGACACAGCCGTCAGTGGGACCATGAGGGGAGAGGGGAGCCACTGGCAGCAAGGTGGGCACTGAGGAGGAGTGTGAGCAGGGGTCGGATGTGGGCTGATGAGGAGCTTGGCTAACCGGGGGATGCACTGTTGTGTCCATCCTGGCAGGGCTGCATCACCTTTGAGGACGTGGCCATTTACTTCTCCCAGGAGGAGTGGGGGCTCCTTGACGAGGCGCAGAGGATCCTGTACAACGATGTGATGCTGGAGAACTTCGCAGTCATCGCATCTCTGGGTAAGGCACTGAAGCCAATGCCAGCGTCTCGAGCTGGGCTTTGCCTTCTGTCTTTTCTCCAGGGACAGCCTGGTCCTTCTGCCTCCAGGCCACGGCTGGTGCTGGTGCTGACTTGTGTGCACAGCCCAGAGAGTGACCTCCCTGAGGCAGCCCCGCCAACACTGCAGGGATGAGTCCCCGCCTGTCTACTCCCTGCCTGGGGGACACATTTACCTCCACACCACCTCTGTTCCCTAGGTTCTGCCCCTTCCTCTAGTTAACTTGTCCTCTTGCCTGCCTGTGCCGAGAAACTTGGTTGCAGCCAAGTTTCCAAACTAAATCACAGTAGGAAGAAAGACCTGGTGAACTGCATCTGAAAACCCAGGGATGGTAATGATCGCTCCATTACTGATCCTGTGGACAGCACATGACTGGACAGTGATTCGTGCATCGTCATGGATGCTACTGATGTGATTCCAGAGCTGTTCTCATGAGACCCTCCGTGGCATTCGTTTATAGTATCAGTTTTGCTCTTATGTTCTGACCTTTTCGAGACCAGTGCTGACTACTCACCTGTCCTGGCTTTCCCCTGGGCCCTGTCCCACGTGGCCTATGCAGGTGTGGAATGGGTGTTGCAGGAGGCGTCTCAGTTGCCTACATGGCAAACATGTCAAGGTGGTCTCAAACGAGGCCTGGCTTTGCTGGACCATTTCTGGCAGAGGACACAAAAGCATGGCCGTGTTCAAGTCCACCACTGACCAGACCTCATGTCCACCTCTCCTTCCCTGTACTGCCCAGACCTCATGTCTACCTCTCCTGCCCTGTACTGCCTTGCTGCCCACACCTCATGTCCACCTCTCCTGCCCTGTCCTCCTTGTCATTTCCAAATGTGACTCTGGCCTCTCACTGGTCCACCTTTCTGACCTGAACCCATCACCTGTTTCTCTCCATTGCTTCCTCCACAGTGTTCCCTAGCAACAGCCCAAGCATAATGTGTCATGAGGTGTCCATGGTTCCCTTAAGTAGCCCTGGACACAACCAGCCGTCTACACAGCATTCCCATGTCACCAGCAGGCAGGGTCCTCCTTGAGACAGATGACAAAGTATGAAGTGGAGTCCCTGCCTGCGCTTCCTGTTGTCTGTTGCTTTGTCTGTCCTTCATCTGCTGAGCCTCGTCCAGTATGTGACAGACTTCCCAGATGTGCTTCCAGCCCCTCATCCTTGGAAAACACCCACAGACACAGTTCTTACCATGATGGACACACACGTGTAATGAGGCTTTCCTTCCCACCGATGTAAACATACATTTACCAGCCTTTCTCTGCTTTTAGGGCGTTGGCATGAGGTAGAGGAGGAGAAGGCGTCTTTTGAGCAGAGTGTTTCTATAGAAGGACTATCACAAGCCAGGACTCCACAGATCGTTCCAGCCACCCAGAAGACTCACTACTGGGAGATGTGTGTCCCTGTCTTCAGAGACGTTGTGGCTGAGGTTGGGAAGGACTACCCAATCCCATCATCCCTTCTCCACTATCAGCCCATCTCCAGCTTTGAGAAGACCCCCAACAGCGCTCAGTGTGGGGAGGCCTTCCTCAGTGGAGCAGGTTGTTACAAGGGTGGAGACTGCGGGAAAGCTTTGAGCCGAGAGCACACACTTGGTCACCACCAGGGTCTGTCTCAGGATAGCAGATGGCGGAAGGCTACCGGCTACAATTACCGACGTGCTCAGCAGCAGCAGATTCGCCTTGGAGAAAGGCTGTATATGTGTGGTGAGTGTGGGAAAACCTTTACTCACCACTCGTCCGTCAGTCGACACCGGAGAATTCACACTGGCGAAAGGCCGTACGAATGCAGTGAGTGTGGGAAGACCTTCACGCATCACTCCTCCCTCAGTAGACACCAGAGGATTCACACTGGCGGAAAAACGTACGCGTGCAGTGAGTGTGGCAAGTCCTTTATTCGAAGTTGCAGCCTCATTCAGCACCAGAGGCTCCACACAGGAGCCAAGCCTTACGAATGTGTGGAATGCGGGAAAACCTTTAGTGAAAACTCCACTCTGATCCAACACCGCCGAGTCCACACCGGGGAAAGGCCGTATGAGTGCAGCGAATGTGGCAAGTTCTTTAGCCGGAGCTCGACCCTCAGTCAGCACCGGAGGTCTCACACTGGAGACAGACCCTATAAGTGCAGTGAGTGTGAGAAATCCTTTCGCCAAAGATCTGGACTCATTCAGCACCAGAGGAGTCACATAGGAGTAAAACCTTATGTGTGTGACGAGTGTGGCAAACCCTTTAGCCAAAGCTCTGGCCTCATTCAGCACCGCAGAGTCCACACTGGGGAAAAGCCTTATGCATGCAGCAAATGTGGGAAATGCTTTCGACAGAGTTCCGCCCTCCGCCAACACCAGACAGTCCACACCGGAGAGAGGCCTTACGAGTGTGGTGAATGTGGGAAATGCTTTAGCCACAACTCCGGACTTAATAAACATTGGCGAAGTCACACTGGAGTAAACCTGTATATATGTGGTGAATGTGGGAAATCCTTTAGTCACATTTCCATCCTTTCACAGCACGAGAAGATTCACAGGACCAAGTATACAAGGGTGAATGTGATCAATCCTCTAGCTTCGTCCTCAGTGAATACTGGTACCTATACCCTAGGAAAAGGTCTCATGAATCCAGTGAACGGGGGAAGTCCTTTAGCCAAAACTCAGTCTGTGTTCAACGCCAGAGAGTTCACGGGAACCAGGCCATATGAGTGTGGTGAATATGGGAAATCCTTTAGCCGAAGTTCCAGCCTCGTTCAATACTGACATTTTCACGGCAAAAGGAGAAATAAAAGACCTGATAGCAGTAAGTGTGAAAGCTTTGGAGTCCAAGGTCTAGCATCATCCCACACAAGAAGGGCCTCAAGTTGAGGGGCCTCCATTAGCTCTCCGTTCAGAGTAATGGCCTTGGAGAGACCTTACATAGAAAGGAGCCAGCAGCCTGAAGCTGAGCCTCATCCACTGGGATACCCAGAGTGGGGAGAGGCTCGTGCAAAGCTTTTGTAAGCTGCATTGCACGTTGTAGACTTCCCAGGGCCCCTCCCAGAGTTCTCCTGTTGAAGCCATCTCTCTACCATCTTGCAAGTCCACACCCACACTGGGTGATTCAGTGACCACACAATGCCAAGGATATAATCATGAATCGGCTTGGCCCCTAGGGGGCTTTCCTCCTCCTCTGATACTGTGTACAACACAGACTGGATACAGTTTTGGCCAAGAGGACATGGTTTGGGTTCTGCTAGCAGCTGGCATACCAGTATTCAAGATATTGTTGACCGGGTATGATACTCACAGATTTTTTTTTTTTTTTTTCAGCCTATAAGTCACCAGTGATTAATAACCTGCCTCATATTCCTCTGGTTTGTGCGACAGTAAAGGCCATATTATTTCATCTATCTCTCTTCCTCAGTGGGTGAGGCATTAGAGGCCAACTGGTACACTTCCCCAAGTTTGATCCTGACCAGCGTGCCACATACACAGCCACCAGCCTTCTATCAGCTTGTACTGTAGTGTTGTGTGTTGTTATAATGCTGGACAGATTGCAGCTAAGTTCCCAGACTAAGAGTAGGAAGAAAGGCCTGGTGAATTGCATCTGAAAACCTGATGGATCATAATGGTCCAATTCATTACTGATCATGTGGATGGCACACGAGCGAATCGTTCCATTGTACACAAGGTGCATGAGGTGTAGCCTACTCAACAACTAACAACAACAACAGCAACCCTGCAGCTTCCTTTCACTGCCTGGATTCCGAAGAAAACAGATGTTAGCTTTGAGCTGCTACGGACGAGCGTCTTTTCTGGGTCCCACAACTTTGTGTTCCTCAGCGGCGTTTCCGTGATAGCAGAGTGGCTCTCCCTGCAGGTGTGACAATGTGCATGGCTGACCATGATCGCCTCGAAAACAGTGTAGGGAGTTTTAGTCCTAATTTGTGACCTGGATTACCTGATTTTGTGTATGTGTAAGAGAGAGACCTGAGGTCACCTTGAAGATGGAAGAGTTATGAGAACTCCATTGTTTCTGGGAGCAGCATGAATTTGTTCCTTTGTCCCCAGGGGATAGCTGTTCTCCTGTTGAAGGGAAGCATTTCCCTAAGTTTTATAATTGAGTTGTGTACCTTGAAGTCTAGAATTCAGGAGGTAGATGTTTCTGGTGGTGAGACTTCGGGAGCCAAGTGGGAACCATCATCCTTAGTATAAAAACTCTAGGTGTGAGACTAGGGAGCGATGGAGACTGCAGCAAACTTCAGACAACATGCCTCCAATCTTCATCCACAAATGTCCCAGTGTCTGGCCGAGCAGGTTCCCCACGGGCAGACGTTCTCCAGACCTCCAGCTCTGTGTGTTCTGTGGCTGACACACACTGTCACAGCAAACAAAGGTTTTGTGGGTTCCTGTGCCCTCTTTGATGTTGTTGACGCCCATTACTCTGCAGGCAGGAAAACAGGAATGGAAAGAAATCGCATCCTGCAGTCGGGTGCGGTTCTGTGAGCCAGCCAGCATGCCTGTCATCTTACATGGAAACAGTCTCAGCCAGAGCTCCTGGTACTGTGGTATAGCTGCCCCTCTCCTGATACAGTGGGTCACTGCCAAACTTCTGAGTTTTCTCAAGATTGTGGGCAAGATACTTATTTTGAAAGCTTTTTTCAAAAAAGTTTCACAATAACATAATTACATGCAGTAAGCTATAAATATTTAAAGGATGCAGTTTGGTAAGTTTTGACATAAATGTATGCCTATGAAACTAACAATATGACCATGAAAATATCCATCACCCCCATATTTATCTTCTACCTTTTAAAAATCTCTACCTGCCCTTCTCTTCCCTTCACCCAGGCAAACATGATTCGCATTCTTTCATAATAAAATCGTGAGTATTGTCTAAACTGTTAGGGGTACCTTCACTAAGTGTTCTCTTTCCCTCCATCTGGGTGTCTTTATACTGCATAAGTTTGAAGTTCACTTGCTAATATGAATGGTTCATTTTTATTCCTAAGTAGTATTCTGTCTGTAGACAATGTATGTTGCTCTTAGGTGCCATCGAGATTGTTCCAGCTCACAGTGACTCTGGACAAAAGAACAAAAACATTGCTCACTCTGCACCCTCTTCACAATCCTTATACTGAGCTCATCCTTGAACCCACTGTTTTATCCATCTTGGTGAGGGTCTCCTCTGTATTGCTGATCCTCTACCAAGCTTGACGTCCTTTTCTAGGGTCTGGTCCCTCCTGATGATATGTCCAAAATACATGAGAAAGTCTTGTCATCCTCACTTGTAAGGAGCATTCTGGCTTTACTTCTTCCAAGACTGAGTTCTCCTTCTTCTGACTGCCCATGGTATGTTCATTATTCTGTGCCGACACCGTAATTCATATGCATCCATTCTTCAGTCTTCCGCCTTCATTGTCCCCCTTTCACAGGCCTGTGAGGGGATTGAAGTACCCTGACTTAGAACTCAGAGTGACATTTTGAAAGTATTTAAAGATGTCTTTTTTTTTCCTGTTACATTCTCATTTATTCATTGATTAATTCAATAAATATCAACATTTACCTTGTATTAGGCATGTTCTAAATGCTAGGAATATGATGTGGAAGAGCTGTTGTTGTTGTGAAGTGCCGTCGAGTCGATTCCGACCCATAGCGACCCTGTATAGGGTTTCCAAGGAACAGCTGGTGAGCTTGAAGATCAGTTAGCTCCCATTCAATTACACTTCTTTCCTTTCTTTCTTTCGTTTGTTTTTCTAAAGCGTTTTATTGTGAATTGAGGTAAAGTTTACAGAGCAGATCATCAGTTTTGCATTCAACACATCATACACTTTGTTTCATTTCAGTGATTACAAGCGTCTCCCTGGAACAGCAGCCATCCCACTTCCTCTCATTGGTTCCTATTTGTATCCCACCTGCCTTCCCAACACTTTTGAACTTTGTCAAGTTGTTTCCAACTCATAGCCCACCTGGATAGGGTTTCTGAGGAGTGAGCAGTGAGTTTGAACTGGGAACTTGCAGTTCAAACCAATATTGCTGTCCAATGCTTATCCTACAGGCCCCACACCAGGACTGTATTCTTAGTGAAATATTGCACTTTTCTTCTTGAATGGCTGATCGTTCTATAGTGGACATACCTTACGGGTGGTGGTGTCCCCCTCCCCTCTATATCTACCTACTGCTTGCCGGAAAATTAGGCCACTAAGGTGAGTTTGGTTCCAGAACTAAAAAGTGATATTGGGCCATGGTCTCAGCCCCTGCCAGTCTCTTTCTGACTAATAAGACTAGTCCCTTTTTTTTTTTTAATAATTTGAAATTTGGTCCAAAATTTTTCCCCACTCCCTTTCAGAGCAGTTGGTAGTGGTTGTTGGGCTCTGTCTAGTTCTTCTTGTCTCAGGTTTGTGGAAACTGATGTCCATGTGCCCCATTAGTTCCCTGGACTCATTGATTGCAGGCATCTGCAGTTTTCATTACGCTTCTTTCCTCTGCACATGGAGGGATCAATGGCTGCACCTTAGGTAGTGGTTGTTGGGCTCTCTCTAGTTCTTCTTGTCTCAGGTTTGTGGAAACTGATGTCCATGTACCCCATTAGTTCCCTGGACTCATTGATTGCAGGCATCTGCAGTTTCCATTACGCTTCTTTCCTGTGCACATGGAGGGATCAATAGCTGCACCTTAGGTGCTTGCTCATGAGCTTTTATGACTACAGTCACTACTCACTGAAGTAGGATACAGACTAGTGTCTTTGGAAACCATGTTGTGCCAGTTGACCATGGTGTCCTCTGAGACTATGGTATTGAGCCCTCAGGCTGAGCAACATGTTGCCTTAAGGTCATTGGTAATGTCTAAGAAGTGTTCATTTCCCCTCCTATATGTTCTAGCACATTCATAGATGTCTTTGCAACAAGTATCCTCTGTCAGCCCTTAGGTATTCGTGGCTATATTCTAACTCTCCTTTGCATATATGTTCAGCCCATGCATCTGTCCAGGTATCTACCCATAGAAACTGCTTTTGCAAGGTTTTGTATATAAAAAATGCACTTGACAACAACAACAACAACCGCTGTTCCTTTTAGTCCTTGCATTCCTCCCTGTGTCTTCACCTGTCTTCATCATTCTTTAAAGATGTCTTTTGCAGCAGATTTTTTCAGTGCTGTATGTCATGGTTACAAGTTGGGCGGCTAACTAACTGCAAGGTCAGCGGTTCAAATCTAAACAGCCACTCCCTGGAAGAAAGATGAGACTCTCTGCTGCACAGATTTATATCCTCAGAAACCCGACAGAAGGTGGCTGTGAGTCAGAACCGACTCTGTTGCACAGAACCACCACCCTCACTGCCATATGCCGGGTCTGGTTTTGCAGCTGCTTCCGTGGGCATTGATTATGGATTCAAGTGAAATGAAATCTTTCATGACTTCAGTCTTTTTTCATTTGTCATGATGATGATTATTGGGTTTGAGGATTTTTGTTTTCTTTACATTGAGATCTAATCAGTACCGAAGGCTGTAGTGTGATTTCATCAGTAAAGCTCTTCAACTTTCTGATTTTGGCCAGCAAGGTTGTGTCATCTGTATATTGCAGGCTGTTAATGAGCCTCCTCCTTCACACAGTCCAGCTTGTCGGAATATTTGCACAGCATACGGATTAAATAAGTGTGCTGGAAGGATACAACCCTGATGCACACCTTTCCTGATTTTGAGCCATTCGGTGTCCCCTTGTTCTGTTAGAATAACTTAAACTGCCTCTTCGTCTGTGGACTTCTGTGCATCCATT